TTCAGTATTTCCATGTAACGTCTCTGCTTCACAAGCTGTACTGGTTACCAATTTGCTTCCGGGTGTGATTCAAGATGCTGGTCACTACTTATAAAGCCCTACATGGCATAGGGCCTGGTTAAATGAGGCACTGACTGTCTCCCATCATATCTGCCCATCTGATCTGATGTGGCAGGGTTGACACACTCCAGATTCCTTCAATAAACACTGCCACCTATTGGGGCCCTGGAAGTGCCCCTTCTCTGCAGCAGCCTCTGGCCTCCGGAATGAGGTTCTCCCTGAGATCGGAACAGCCCCCGCCCTATTGGCATTTCAAAGGGCCCTGAAGAATTGGCTGTTTGCTCAGGCCTTTGGCAAGCATGAATGAAGCCCCCTTTTCTTCTTTCTTTTTCGTCCCATCTGACGAAATTGTTATCTCTGCCATCTTTGTTCTTTTTTGTTTTGTGATATTTTCTTGTTTTAATGTTTTTAAACAAGAATCACTGGGAGTTGGGCAGCATATTAAACAAACAAACAAACAAACAAACAAACTAGCTGCTCCTCTTTGCAGGGTTGGACAAGGACCTAAAGGACTATCCTAAAACTAGTCTGGGTTAAGGGCAATCTAAGAGGATCTAAGAGCATCATCAGCATAAAGCAAAACAGTTAATATATCTATACATTTCAGAGCATGATACTCTAACCCCTGCATATGAATAAAATACTATATTACATATTACATTATTTATAATACATTATAATATTAAATTCACCTCTCACCCTTATGGGTGGTACGTGTCTTCCTCAATCTCGGGTCCTCTGTCAGAGGCCTGAGTTTGAGGGTTCTGCACAGTATCTTAGCTGTTCCTGGCACTGCACACTTCTGGACAGAGAGCTCTGATGTTGTTCCTGGGATCTGTTGGAGCCATTCTCCCAGCTTGGAAGTCACAGCCCCGAGTGCTCCCACTTTGGCCTTGACTTTCCACATCCTCTCAAGTTCCTCCTTCAGGCCCTGGTACTTCTCCAGCTTCTCATGCT